CAGCCGAGTTAACAATGAAAGTCAGTTTGGGGTGCTTCGGTGCGCACGAGTTGGAGTTGGATTAGGCTGGCATCCCTTGGGCATCCTGGATACCCACCAAGCACCGAGAAGCCATTCAAGTGATACTTGGATAATTTTCCAGTGCGCCTGTGATTTTTGTGGACAGTTGCATTGCCCTGAAGTGGTTTCCCTACCTGTGTTAGTCCCTCATGCAATTTTGATTTGAACAAGGAAGAAGTGCTGAATAACCCAAGTGTTGTACAGGCATGAAAAAATAAGAGTGGATTTACTGTAAATAATATTAACCCTGCTGGGATATATTTCTTAATTGGGAATAACAATGTGAAAAATTACCTGTGCCTGCATGTACGTATATTTTTATTCTAGTGCAGCATTTACGAAATGAACTTGGATTTGTTGAGTCAAAGGAAGAAGAACTTCCACATTAAGATAGTGCTCATTTGTTGTTGAAGTAATCCCACAGAAATGATGTTATTAATCATATTCTTGGAAGTGCCATTGCATCACAATGCATGAAAAACCATGGGGGTGTTGCATTCATATTTTCTTCTAGGTTTATCTATAGTCCATTTGTATACTGTATATCATGTTTTGGTTGTCTCATACTCTCATACACTGAAGTGTTTTCCATGGGCCTTGAAGTTTGTTGGAAACGCTGCTGCTGCCACCTGTGTTGAAATTTTTGTGTATGCCCTGGTAACTTTAATGACAAAGGGTCTCCATTGAACATAATTTACATCAGAATTTTTCAGATTCAAAATTGGAAGAATGCAGTGAATTTTTCCAAATTTTTCATTGCAATTTTTTCATAATTGACTGCATTTTTCAAACTTCTGAATTGAAAAAATTCTGATGTATATGATATTAAATGAAAACCCTTTTTTATTAATTTTACCAGGGCATACACAGACATTTCGATACAGGTGTCAATATAGCAGCGTTTCCAACACCTTTCTCAAGGCCCAAGTTTGAAATGCAGTTGTTTACACTTCAAGCATTACTCAGTTGCATTTTTGGAAAGCACAGCATGAACCATAACATGCTCTTCCTGCATTAATGCACTTCCAAAGCACTCAACATTTCCAATTATTTACGGCCATTCAATTTATAGTTCCTATATAGAAATAATGGTTGTTGAAATCGGGGTGTGGCGTACAGTAATGCTATGCCTATATAACTATGCAACTTTCAATTGAGACGCTATACGTAAAACTGTGTCTTGGCCTACAACGAATAATGGCATAATAACCTTCTTACTTACGCCTGTTTCACCTAAAGGAAAACGTAAGGTCCTACGAGAGTCATTCTCACTTACATCAAAAGGACCGCTGAACGCGTCGGCACATCTTCGCCCAACGCGACCCGCCATCGGATCGATCAGGGAATAATCCCCTGACGAACCAACAACGCATCGACGATGCTCGACAGCGTCGAATCGATCAGAGACTGAATCAGGACCAACAACGGTCGAGTCCCGACCTTATTCCGAAAAAGTCTGACGCCTCTGCCGCTGCAGGGAATCCTCAGGACTCTTATTCCCTCACCGGACAACGAGGAGGATGGGGCAACCGTTACGATGATACGCAAAGGAATCGTTTCCCTGGTGGGAATGCGTATGGCAACAGAGACTTCCAGCAAGACTACTTGGGCCCAGATGGTGCTCCTATCGGGGACTTTGCCCATGATTACACCCATCTCGACCGGGATCCAGCCCCGGAGCCCTTCAACGAGGATAACGAGCTGTGGGAGCCTTCTTCCATCCGAGGTATATATACTACAGTATTAGCTGACATTCTCACACATGATGAATCGCTGTACTTCAACAACTATCTGGGTTAGTCTGTATAACACCAGCTACAAGTTTCTCTGTGGCGGTAGAGCAAAGGTATCAATACCCATGCGGTACTGGATCATCAGCAATAAGCTTGTCAAGTCTTTAACATCTTTCGTGTCCCTGCCGGAATAAGTCATGTTTATACCCTTGTATAAGACCATCATGATGTTCTTGAAAGTAAATAGGTAACATTAATTCAATCATGGCTCTCGCATTGGCTGTCCCTATATGGAAGAGATACGCTCAAAAGGATGAACAATGAGAGAGGAAAACAATAAGGAAATTGCACCCATTAGCATATATGTTTCACTATGATACAGGAAAGCTTTTAAATCTTCTTACCTGCTTGAATGGAGTATGGCTTATTGGGCCTGGTAGCTTGGATGTCTTGCAGATTCAAACATATTTTCCCTGTCAGGGATGCTCTGTAAGTTCTCATAACTTTGAAAGACTTCTTCATCACTGGATATCAATTTTGTTGAATCTGGAAAGTAGAAGTTTTCTAGTTTTTAGAGAGATTAACACTAGTCAGTTTAGTGATGTGGAACCACACTCTGCTACCACTTTTTATGTTGAGACAAAAATATTTTGAATCACCTTTTAAATGAAGAGAACAGAAATCAACTGGAGTGCTTGACTTCTTGTGTAAGGTTGATATACATTGAGACCCCCACATGTGGACACCTTGACATGGGGACAATTCAACATAGGGACATTTATTTTTCAATAAAAAAAATCATAAAAAGGGCAAACATAGGGACACTGACTCAATATGAGGATATTGCATGATAAAATTGCCAATACATTTTAGGAAAAATTGACTTTTATTAGACTTAATTGCGAAAAACAGATATTTCCAACCCTAAGATCAATGTAAGACATTTTTTTGGTAATTTTTCCATCACTTTCCAATCCATTCAGCTAATAAAAAAATTACCTGTAGCACAGAGGGATTTCCTTTTCTCTTTGTGACTTGGATGTTATTTTTATACAGATTCCAACATTTCAATGAACCATACAGTGGTATACTATTCAATACTGCAAATGTTCTTATTAGGTTGGAATGATATATTCACTGAAAAAAATTTAAGTGGGGAAAATTTTTCTTTTCATGGAATTCTGAAGAATATTTTTTTCATAGAACACAAATTAAAAATTATATAATGCAAGTATATGGGAAAACAAGACTCAACTTAGGGACAATTGAACTTAGGAATGCGCTTGATGCACAAATTATGTCTACATCTGGGGGCTCACTGTATTTGCCATTTGTGATTGGTCCATTATTCATCAAAGGGTATAGACAGAAACTGCTCCAAGTGCTAGTTAAAGTACTGTGTAGTCACCAGCAATTCTTCCAAAACTGTGCCATATTTGAAATATGAAGATTTTCAAAGTACAAAATTTGATACAGTAAAAAGAAAATTTTATATTGTTCAGCCATTTCTTGTTATCTGAATTGCCTTTGGTGCATCACCTGCTAGGATCACAACTTTCTCAAAGAACAAGCATTCTTTGTGTGTGAATGATGATTGGTTTCAGTGAATCTACTCCTTAGCTGTTTAAATAATAGTATCTGCTGTATAACAAAATTCTATCACCACTAAAAAATCCTTGTTGTACAGAACCCTGTGCATGGGACCAAAAATACAATTGTTATCCAAATAAGATCATTGTAGAGAGAGTAAACCTGTATCAGCAACATGTTATGTTTCAAGAGTTCCTTAAATGTTTTGACTGCAAATAACTTAGACGTGGAATGTTATTCGAATGCATGGCACATGTCACCTGTATGAAGTTCATATAGTACATGGATTATGATCCATGCTGACGAAAAGAAATCCGACTATAGAGTATATTCGCTTGGTAAGATTCAGAAAATGTTTACCTCATCATCATTCTTTTCAGCTAGAATTTTTGAGTATGATGAGTAGTGCATAATTTCAGGTAACATTTAATATTGTTGGTTTTGTATTGTGTTTCAGAATCGGATGGTGAAGAAAGATCGGAAGTCATATCCCACGGTTGGTCGCATCTCCCGTATGTCCCAGACAGCGCCAGTGTGAACAAGGGCATGTCTCTGGCAATTTTCATGACAGGCATTTTTGCTTGTCATTTCTTTTTTATTTGAACAAATGAGAGCAAGCTTCAGTCAAAATAATCATGTACAACTTAACGCGGTGAGCTTACTTGTTTCAGCGTGTCAGCATCCGTTTGAACGCATTTTTTTTTCAGTCTTACACGATCATCCCTCCGAGGTTTTTGTATCAGTTTTGAATTGGGATTATGTGTTTACGGTGTTGAACAAAGCATTTTGTTGAAAATTTTGGATTCATTTTCTTNTTCAGCGTGTCAGCATCCGTTTGAACGCATTTTTTTTTCAGTCTTACACGATCATCCCTCCGAGGTTTTTGTATCAGTTTTGAATTGGGATTATGTGTTTACGGTGTTGAACAAAGCATTTTGTTGACAATTTTGGATTCATTTTCTTTCTCTATCAATCGTATCTTTTCATCTTTTCACAAATTTATAGTCTTCTAGCCATGCCATGGAAAAAGTTCCCCAGGTGAAAATATGTTTGGGGAGAAACGTTATTGACACTATTAAATGATCAAACATTATGTCTAACATTATTCAAACATTATTCAAGAGTAATGTCTACTCTTGAACTTTTTGTGTGTTTTCTTGCAACTATTAGGCCATTATCCAGTTCTGCTGAATTGCAAGAAATATTCTTGTTTTGAAAAATTATCCATTTTGTTCTTAAGGAATAACCTGTGCTATTCAGCGTGTCAGCATCCGTTTGAACGCATTTTTTTTTCAGTCTTACACGATCATCCCTCCGAGGTTTTTGTATCAGTTTTGAATTGGGATTATGTGTTTACGGTGTTGAACAAAGCATTTTGTTGAAAATTTTGGATTCATTTTCTTTCTCTATCAATTGTATCTTTTCATCTTTTTACAAATTTATAGTCTTCTAGCCATGCCATGGAAAAAGTTCCCCAGGTGAAAATATGTTTTGGGAGAAACGTTATTGACACTATTAAATGATCAAACTGTTGTCTACTCTTGAACTTTTTGTGTGTTTTCTTGCAACTATTAGGCCATTATCCAGTTCTGCTGAATTGCAAGAAATATTCTTGTTTTGAAAAATTATCCATTTTGTTCTTAAGGAATAACCTGTGCTTTTGAATTGTTTGGATATTTTTGATGATGCTCATGATTCTGCATGTTTGTAACCAGGGTTTGTGTTTATCTCTGTTCATGCAGAACTTCTAAAACCATGCAATGGTTGAGAAGCAGACGAGATTTTTGCAAATGCTATTCCGAAAAACCTTTGTTGGTCATGAATTCATGATTGTTTTCTGCCTTGAAATTTGTTTGTACTGGTGCTTTGTCTCTGTCCCATCCCTCTCTTTTTTTCAACAGCAATGTTATTGCAGTTTTCAGACACTGCAATAACACTGTAGGGAGAGGACCCAAATTTCTTTCCAGGGTGCTCCCCCAGTTAATGCAATGTTACTATTCTACAGTCAAGGCAATGTTACTACAGTGTTCAGACACTGCAGTAACACTGCTGGGATGGCACCATGGCAGTTTTGCTAGGGGACTTCCCCTGCATTGTTACAGGAGTGTATCAACACTGCTGTAACACTGTGGGGAGAACATCATTGCATTCATGCCAGGGTGAAAGATCCAAATTCAAGATGTTGATCACCCTTTGTTTACAGTGCTGGTTGTTTCTTAAAGCATTGATCTTTCAAAATGCCCTGTCAAGATGTGCTGCCAGTTGCTGATTCACAAATACCAAATGTTGCCGGGGATCCTCACGTCTGGGTGTGGGGTTGTAAATCCCACCAAACGTTTGCTGATTTAATGAAGACAGGTGGATAGCTGATCCTTCACACTGTAGAAAAATAACTAGGAACAAAGCCTGAATTTATATTCACAAGACTTTTATTCACAATGCGTACACATTTGACATACATGTCAAGGGATCCTCTTCCAACTCAATGAAGAGTGCTTTTGAAAAACAAATAGGTTCAGGGCTTTGCATCCCTGACTGAAATATATGACACAACAACACGTCAAAACACGGACACAACAACAATCAGAATTCACAGGGGGATCCCAAACCTTGAAAGCAGTGCTGTTCAAGGGACCAATTTTGTTTCTGGTGGTTTTCATAACTGGAGGGCAGGAGAGTCCAGGATAAGAATGCATGAAAACAGTAATGCTCATCAAGAAGCTATGTTGTCCTTTGTAAGCCAGGAGGCTGGTTGTGTTGACTACCTGGCTGCAAAACAATTAGAGGAGGAGAGGTGCTACTGGAGAAAGATTTTAAAGCGCCTGACCAAGATTTTGAAATTCCTTGCTGAGTGTGGTCTTGCCATAAGGGGTTCAGATGAGATCATTGGTTCTCCTCACAATGATAACTAACTTGGCATCAATGAGCTGAAACACTCAAAGAGATTCATGCATACCTGAGTGTTTTAGGTTTGTTTGTGTTTGCCAGCTGCATGGCTGCTGCAATTTTGTCAGAGTTGTCATTGAACTCCTTCATGTTTTTTCTTACTTCCATTCTCCTTAGGAGGTGGGTTCCTTCTGTAGAACCTTTGGAATAAGGCCCGGCAGTTTGTTAAGCGGCTGAAATATTAATTTCATTTGTATTATTGCAATTGACTACATTATATTATGTTACACTCACAATCCTGAGTTCTTCCCTACTTGAACAATGTTGAAGATAAGAGGCAGATGGTTGTAGTCCAAAACATATGGAAAGTCCTGACATTCTTCAAAATTCTGTCCATCACGTTCTTCAAGAGTCCTGACAGGAATGACACCTCCAATGCCATTGTTGAACAAATCTTCATTGTCTTTTTCATCATCAGCATCTGTAGAAAGATTCGGTATTTCATTATTTTTTTTAAAAATTGCCAAATTGAAAAAATATACAAATATATATATATATACTGTATGTACCTCGTCTTGATGTATGATTTTCTTTGTTACAACAGAAGACTTGCAACATCATCTGCTTGTAGAAGCACTCCATGAAGATGAAGTAGGATGCCTTACTCATTGGTGAACTGGTTTTCTTCCAAGCATGCATGTAAGATTTCTGACAATTATGAGAAATACATCAGACAAATATAAAGTAGGGTTTTGGGCATGTGAACAGGAAGAAGATGATGGATGTCATGATGTCATAATTTTTTTCATTCACTCTTGATTGATTTTATGGATGTAGTTAAGTACTTTCACTCACCAGTTTCTCTTGTTTGCTGTCATCAAAAAGTAGTGCATCAAATTGAAGCAGCTCTGCTCTAGTCTTGATTGGGAACCAAAATCCCAATTCAATTGGAGTTTGGTAGACACCTGTAATGAAGTTAAAATATATAAACAAATGCAAACTCAATTTTTTTATGAAGACAGTCATACTTCTTTTCTCTGATGATGCTTGTGTTACTGCAAGAGGAAGGTTCTGACTGAAGTACTTTGTCAGTTCTTCCTTCAGGAAGTCTTGAATTGATGCACCAGTTGATGCTCCTACTTTTTTATAGGAAACAGCTTCTTCCCTTCTCCTTACTACTTTATGTAAAAACATATTCCAAATGCAAGTGCATCTTATTCATTCTTATTAATCAAGGTTTCTTCATGTTCAAGTATTAATTGATGTTCAAGTATACACATGTACCACAGCACTGTCCTAGCATTGTTTGGTCTATATACTGTCATGGCTGTTCTTTTCACCATTATACTGCAGTAGTGCGTTTGCACGCGCAAAATCAGGAAATTGTTGTTCTATGAGTTTGTTCTGTACTTCAAGTGATTGTAATATATATGTTCATTTTGTATTGTGTGTATTAATTTTAACATAGACTGCAAGAGTGAGTTTTTTAGGCATTCTCAGTTTACAGTGTTTCTTTTCATTAAATGTAAAATAGAATTACGCGCACGCAGTACTTACATATGAGCAAACGCTGTATATCTATATTATATACCTTAGTGACAAGATGAAATGTTCTGTTTTCAAAACAATGCATACATGTTTTTACAGTTTTCTGCAAAATCAGAGAAGTTTTCAAAGATTATGTTGTCCGCTACCGTCACTGCTGCTTAATCAGCATCGGCATCAGCAAATAATATTGCGGTGTCATCAATAACATCATCATTGTCAGAATCTTCTATTTGCGCTCCGCGTTTGCAGTTGCGCGGTGTGGAGTTGTGCCCCACATACAAAATTGGTGTCAAGGAATTCAAAGCCTTTCATGCCTATGTGAATTGCGCTTTTTTCAAGTGGGGTGTGTGGCAAAATGGGATAATGAAGCTACCGTTTAAACCAGAGCTCATTAAATCCCTTCAAAAAAACGGTGGACATCATTGTGTCCACTGCTAAAATAATATGAATTTGGGAACTAAAAATAAAACAACTTGAAACCAAAACCTGAAAAAAATGCATGAAAAGTGAAACATGAACCACTAAGCACGGAAAAAGTCCTAGTCCAGATGTTCCCACAATGACAAGGACCAAACGCAGGGGGGCTGGAACCCCTTCAATGGTCGTGAGTAAAAAAAATGCGTCATCATGAACAACAGGCATTGGTGAGTGAAAAAAAAAAGCTCATTGGAAGACCCAACAGCCTCCAATTCTGAAAATCAAATGAAAAATAAAAAAAAATGTTGAATTAAATGATGAAAACTAATTCAAATAGTATGCCCCGCCCTCATGTTACAATCCTTAAGGCGGGGAAGTGGAAATAAATTCATTATTTACCATACAACTCTTTAAATTTTCTTATCAAGAATTATTCATAGCAAAATAACCTCTGCATTAAAAAAACTGAATCTTAAAATGGAAGGCATCAAAACAGTATAAATAGGTCAATGTAATGAGAATTCTGCTAGAACCAATGAAACTCAACAATTATGTCAAACTCCATTTATTTTGCAGCATTACCCATATCATCCAAAAATCCAGATACAGTATAATGCAGTTGAAGTTGCATATTTCAAATCCAGGGGGGCAAAGCCCAAAAAAAGCAAAAACATTCAATACCTAAACGTTTTCAAAAATGCGACCCATAAATATACCAATGACTTGTACGAAAGCAAATGAAGTCAGTGAATTATAGAGAGAAAATGTAGAAAAATTCAAATATACAAGTACATCAGATCTCATGACATAAGAACCCAATACGCTTTCCATTTCTAGCCTATATGCAACACAATTTAATAAGCCCACTGTAGGCATAGCACAAATTAGGAGATGAATACTGTCAAGTTCTCAGTTTAAAGAACATAAAGAGGATTCCTTTTCAAGAACCGCACATGGATGCCGCTGATAATTTTCCGTGTGTTGTTCTTAGCGACATCTATGAGGGCATTGTTTTATGCATGGCTCCCCCCAAGTGGGATAGCTCCAAGGCCTCCTGTGAGAATAGATTTCTGCAGAATTCATCATTATTTTTGCCAAAGTAAATGCTGCTTCAAGAATCGCTGTGGAATCAACTTTCCTCTGAATTCTGTGGAAGATACCACTGCGTAAGTGATCACTGCAGAAGAGCCTCTGCGGAATTGCACTCCGCGGATGTGGACTAATCCTTCTGCTACAGGGAGTACGCTGTACCTGGGGAGTACGCCCTGCATGCTACACCGGCTTACAAGGCGATCGTCGATTTTCGTTGGTTTCCTCACACTCCAAGTTTTCTTACTTGACTGGAAATCCCCAATTTGTGTTTTGAATTTTTAAGTTGTGCCTGAAATACATTTCATGCATGGTGATGCGAAGAAACCCCTTCACTCGCTGGACGAAAATCTCACTGAACTGCGAAGGGAGTTGAGGATTGAACTATTCGCTTGTGAAGTGTATCTCTGGTGTAGTGAAAATGTAATACGGCGGTTGTTCTCATCTGGCATGCTTTTATCTTCATGACTGCAATGAATCTCTTGGCCCCCTGGTTGATTCTGGTGGACCCCATGTTTTCATGTACCTTTAGTATTGACGGGTGCTCGTCTGCAGTGATTCTTTTAGTGAGTTGATTCAACGGCCCTGAGATGGTGACCCAGAAAAAGCAGGTTTGTCTGAGTTCAAGATTTTTTCCAAACGGCGTTCCTGTGAAATTTGTCTTTTGTAGAAAAAGGCGATTGAAAGCATCAATACTCGCCTTGCCTTGGTGATGAAGTCGGGGAAATTCGTTCTCGGGTACCGCCAAACATTGAAAACCCTTCGCCAAGGTAAAGCGAAATTGGTGATCATCGCGAACAATGCACCGCCGCTGAGGTGAGTTACTGAAAGCTATTTTTAGGTTGAATTCGTATACAATTCTCTTTTTCATTTAGGAAATCTGAGACCGAGTATTATTCGATGTTGGCGAAGACCGGAGTTCATCATTACACTGGCAACAACATTGAATTGGGCACTGCTTGTGGAAAATACTTCCGAGTTTGTACTTTAGCAATCACGGATCCCGGCGATTCCGACATCATTCGCACACTGCCATCTTCGGAAGGTGGAACTTTAGCCTCGTAATTGAGCCGTTTCGAATGTTGAATGAGATTCAATTATATGGCTGTGATGTTGGAGAAATGTTGGTTATTCTCATGAATCTAGCGAAGTGAACTACCGTTTTCGCAACGAATACAACTTGGATTCATCAACCATATCTTTTAACGATGTATTGGAAGGACTTGATGTCAGATTTTGATGCGAGATAGTTGCAGCATTGTGAACTTCCGTTAAATCTGCAGTAAATCTTCGCACTGCTCATTCTCACATCGGGATGGTCAGCGTGAAGGGAGATGAAGTCAAGGTTTTAAGGTTTTCCAACACAATATGTGAGATCGTATGTTGGAATAAGTTAGATAGCGGGGAAAATTTTTCCTTCTCTTGGCATTGCTGATGACAGTACATCTTCCGGTTCACTGTCCAGTGCTTCTGTACACATCTCTAGATTCGAATGGGTTCTGTGTAAAAAAAAACCAGCTTGCCGTAGTTCTACCCACCAGTTTCCCATGAAATGTGGAAAAATAGCCCGCTTGTTCTTCAGTCCAGAATACTTCTGTACACAACGCTTCAGCGGTATTCTCTGGCTATGTCATTCTTGGTCTTGCAGATGTACAATCTCAGAAACCTTTGATCTACTGATGTCATCCAAAACCTTCGGGAGTACTGCATTCACCCTCATTGGATATCATCCGAAAATTTGTGCATCATTGAACCATCACTGATAAACTTGGAAAAATATAAAAATAGCCCAGGGGTGTTGTAACAAAATATCGGTTCGTATCCGTTCACAGTGGTTCATACTGTATGTGAGGATGCATTTGGTATGTATGTCCCATTCTTGGATACGGGCCTGTGCAGAAATGGCATGAACATCCCAGAATTTGGAATGACTGGGTCATGGGAGTGGAAGCTTGTTTCTAGGCTGATGGAAATGCCAGATCCCCTTCAAGAATGTTGTACAGTAGTAAAAAAAAAGAGAAGTGGGAGAACTTCCATTGACATGCCTGTGTTACGGGCTGTGATGTACACGGATCAGTCAGGCATAAGAGGTCTAAGTTGGTAGGAATATGCTAGCTACTTGAAACTTCAAACAAACAAACGTGAAGTATGCATCTCCACCTTGAAGAGCCCCAGAGAAGTACTGTTCTATGAAAAAGGTAGAGGTCCACATCCAGAAATCGAAGTTTTGTATCGAGCATTCGTGCCATGAAAACGAGGATTTTTCAGATCGTTGTTCCTCGGAGGTAAGTGAATTCCACTGCGATCCCTTCAATCACATTTAGTTTCGCAAAAAAATGTATTTAATTACATGTAAGTGCATCTTCACGGGCGGCATTCCGGTGCCCAGGATGTTTGCGTTTTTCATCAAGATTATTGCCTTACAGAAGGATGTTCTGTTTTATCCTTTGGTTTCGTTTCGAAAAACACTGTGACTGCAGAAGGTGTTATTGAACCTGTGTTATTATTTATATGTTCAATATTGTGTGAAGAAGGGTTTAGCAGTTGCAACATGAATTGTGCGTTCATTACGAGCAACTAAGCGTGGAAAACAGCTCATCATTGATGAAAAAAATCAATTAATATAATTGCATTGAAAGGTCACAAGGAGAATTTTTCTGAACAAACTTTTACTGATGAAGATATTTTTGATGAGGAAGAAAAGGCAAGGCAGAACAAAGACCGGGTTTTCCGAAAATTTCAGGCACCGTTGGGAACAGGACCGAGGCGTGACTGGAATCAATGATGCCGATGGCTTTGGATGACAGTAGTCATTGCCCTGTGTTTCCATGGTCCAGAGCACATTTCCAACTCCACTATAGCAGGCATGATGTTTAACCTCGCCCCCTTATGCTGCCAGCTGAGGAAGCGGCCGACCAAGCCATGCCTTCTCTGCTGTGACTGATCTCAGTGGTTTTACAATCAGTGAACGCCGGAAGGCCTGCTTCGGTATCCTATCCTCCATTAGTTCCGTTACTCCAGCAGGCAATTTGTATATCTTCTAGCCGTAGACTGCAATTATGGGCCTGCTAATGCTGGAGTGGGTCAGGGAGCATAATGCAAGCAGTATCCGAAGACTCTTCCAGGGCCGGCCCAAGCCTGCATGGCGCCCGTGTGCAAACCGGCAAACCCTCACTTCGGCGCCCCTATACATGAAAAACTGCCATCAGACAATATACAGTCAAACCCTGGTTTATGGACATTCTGGGTAACAAATTTTCAGTTTATGGACTGGCTCTGTTTTAGGGAAGTTGCACCTGCTTATGGACTGTAAACTGGCTTATGGGCTGTGGTCCATTTTGCTGACTTTGAAAAATTGTTCAAAATTCAATTTTCAACCAATTTTAAAATTGTCCACACTCTACAGCTTTGCATGCACAAAGATGTTTTCTAAATTTCCTTTCTTAAACATGCAAAATCTGAACATTTGACAGAATTTCAACCAAACATGTG